ATGTGCCATTTCGCATGTCCTCATATTATCTAGATCGATGAAAAATTACCTAATACTATTTCTTAATTAATTGTATTTCTGGGGCATAACAATAAAAAGTATTTTTGATCCATTGTGAGTTGAAGATTTGACAGTCATTTCTAGTCTTTTCTGTGAATTTTAATAGTGATTATTTGTAGTAGGAATAGGTCTCTAGCAGAATTACAGGTTTATTTCGATTATGGATAGTTTTGTTTTGCTTTTGTTATTATTATGGCAGTCAGCAGATATTTTTAAGTATACGTTACCGAAGTTTGTTTTTATAACTCTAACATTATAACTTTGATTAGCTTATACCGCTGTCTGGAAGGTTATGGCTGGATGAATTGACTCCCTTTACCCTATTGAAACCTTCACATCTTCGTCAACTTTTTCAGCCGACTGTTGGCCAATTCCTATTGGTGGTAATTCGAAGAGTTATGATATGTACCTGTTCGGGTAGTAGACTCCGTTTCCATGATCTAACACCTTCCACTGCGGATTTCCAGGCTCATTGTTGTTCGGATAATTGGGATAATGATGGTGCCCAGGATGAGTCGGTGGATAAAGCATATGGGATGGCGTTTGATGTGCCTCAAAATTATTTCCACTCTCTTGACCCTGGCGATGATGATTGTGATTATATGAGAGAGGGTAGCCTGGACGCATCGTGTGATAATCGTGCTGATAATGTTCCTGAGTAGTGTATGGATTTTGTGGGCGATTTGCACCAACGGGATATGCATTCGGGGTCCAACTCGTTGATCCCCACTCATTTCCGCTGGCTACGGGCTGATTTTGGGATGTTCCTGGCGACCAGGTCGATGATGGATTCCAAGAACTGGACGGTAATGCTGGAGTTTGTGGCTGTGGTTTTTCTTCAATGAAAATGATAAAAGATTCATATTGTACCAAAGAAACGTAATGGTTCAATTATGTTCAGATCAAGTTGTTCCGAATATATTGATGAATTTAAGGAGGGTCATCAGTATATTTTGAGGACATAGGGTAGGTCCAAATATCAAAGGCTTCGACTCAGACTTCCAACTGTTGGCGGTGAAAATAATAACTAAATATATGAAAACACTCCGTATACATATAAATATAGATAGTTATATATTTATGACGATATAAATAATATTTTGTCATAGGTGCCCATGAGATAATAGTGTATTATAACATATAATCACATGAATCAGAAAATGCTTTTCGACCGTGGTGCATATGCCACTTTATGTCCCAAGGGATATAGTATATTGTGCACCATGGGAGGAAAACAGGGCATTCCAACCCGCGTGGGTATTACCGACCCGAGGCGAAGCCGAGGCTGGTAACCACGCGGGTTTGAATGTCTTGTTTCCCTTCCGCGGTGCACATTGTTCTTTCCGTCATGGCTACACGAAAAAGTTCGATTTCTCTTCGTAAATGAAGGGAGGAATGTGGGTTATGTTATGCCGAGGATGCTCAAAAACAATAGAAATCCGAGGGAGAGAATAGGCCACTTTCTTCCCGTCATTTGGGGAGTAAAATCGAACTTTCCGTGTAGTTATGACGGAAAAAACTTTTCATTCCCGCCGGGGGATAAAATAGTATTCGAAAGACGTGCGTTATAGATTTTCTGACTACTGGGTTTGTAAAACTCGCCTTCGGACCGTGTCACAACCCTCTCACGAGCCAAAAAATCTATTACGCACTTGTTGCGTAATATACTATTAAGTCGGGGGAAACGCGCAAAATACCACCCCAGATTCTTTCTGTAGTAGATGCATGGAGAGAAAAATACTGGAAAAAATACGTAAAAAGTTCCGTAATAGTATATTACGCACGCGTTTCATACAAAATTTTATGTCATCGCCCCCGGAACCCGCGATTTAACCGAGCGAAGCGAGGTTAGAATCGCGCGATTACGGGCACCGATGGCATAAAAAATCATGTGTGAAAGGTAAACGTGGGGCGAAATGTAAAATCGGAAAAAGTGCCGATCATTCAGAACATTTTACCACTCGGTCGGTAAAAAGTCACCTTTGGAGGTAGAAAAATAACGATACTCAGTTCCGTAAATTTTGCCGGGACTGGAAAGTACGATTCTAAGATCTAGATTCTAGATTCTAGATTCTAGATCGCCGTTTCCAGTCCCTATGAGAATCAAATATTGTGTGCCTCACGGCAATAAAGTAGTTTCTGATTCATGTGATTATACTCACATTTCGTCAGAAAATACTTTACTCCCTAGAGGCACAATATACTAATTATCCTTCCGACAATAGTAATTTGCCGGTGGCGTGATCCGAACATAGGCAATGACGCGCGATCGGGTACGACCAACGGTCGTACCAACGCTGTCTAGGAATTTTTCAATTCGGTCACGTAAAAATTACGGTACGTCACGTAAAATTCAAGTGAAACTAGATAATTTTTACTTCACTCGGAATAATTTTAACCGGAACTGTGGTAAATTTTACAGGTTCATAAAATATGACGTGACAGTCACATAAATTTTCCAGTGCAAATAATAAAATTCACTGTTCGTCTCTCATTTTTTCCTAAATTCCCCAGTAAAAATTAAGGAAATGACACTCCAGCCCACGATTACGTGATTAGTCTCGTAATTTTTCGTGTGTTTTTCTCTCCGTGTATCTACTGGAATATGCATTACTTGCACTGCCCTCATATTTTTGATGTTAACAGTTTTCACTCAAAGTACTCATTTAGACCTGTGCATAAGATATATGTTATACCCTATGCGGGTTTTTACATTGTATTTTTGCGGTATCATTGGCCGACTTCTTCTGCAACCGTGTTGCATTTACTCCAGGAGTTGTACGCCACGTACTCTCGCGTCCGTCAACCAAGCTTCAGTGGGCAATGTTTTTCCCAACATTTCTCGATGATTCTTGGTGTCTACATAGACTTCCATTCAACAGTTTCCGAATGGTTAAAAATTCCATTGCCCTATTTCGGACTCGAACCCATGCTTCACGTCTGGACACGAGTCTCGTCGTCTGGACGAACGATTTAAGGTTGTTGTCGCGAGAGAGTCAGGCTTAAAATTTACTACGCTCCGGGTTGATCTTCCGCTAAGCGGAGAATACGAGTTAGAATATAAACTTTTGCGGGTGTACAGTTCCACTCGACTCACGCACACAAGAATCTACCATGCATGGATACATGTACACACAGCTAACGCTAAATGGTGCCGATCGTGGCAACCGCGCGCAGCGTGTCTCTATTTTCATGTCTCTCTCTTTCTCACTCAATGTATTTATTTTATTTATGAATCGTCCCTTTGATTCGTCATTGACTATTCCAAATAGATTCGCGCCACTCGAGCAAAAAGCGTTGTTGTCGCGTCGCGCGCAACAAACCCATGCGCTCCGCCCACTGGGAGACATAATGCTACTTTGAAAATTTATTGCTCTACTACGAAACTGACGATCACTTTTTTTTCAGTATATTGGTGGTCACTATTTCTACGTTCTGTGTTAATTTCATCAAAAAATGTCGAGTGGTTTTTTTTTTAAATAAAAACGGTGAAATGCATTTGAACCCATGTTAATTCAAAAAATCATATCTCAGCTAAGAAACTGAAGATTGGTTTTTTGTTGTGCTCATTTTGGAGGGAATTTTAAGAGCTATCTATAGCAAAAATTTTAAAAAAATCTGTCGAAAAACGGGTTTACACGACAACAACCTTAACTAATTTGACTACCATCGTTCTTGCGCATAAAGCTTTTTTTCCATTAAAAATTCCACGAAATCTATATTCAAAAAAATTCGGACAAAATTGTAGAAGTTATGTAACTACTTAATCACCTAAAGTGAAAATTGTAATTGCTCTGGCGTATTGGAAAATTTTCAAGTTTTCCGCAGATAAGGAAGGGGGTCCCTGTCAAACTTTGCCACTTTTTTTCGTTTGTCTGTTGGCGTATAGTTTCCGTAAAGGATCCAATGAAGTCACTCACCTCCACAGCCTGGAACATTATACGGCCAGTCGCACACACTAATTTTGGGATTAAAGGCTGTTCCAGGACCACAATCCATGATATAAGCGAACCCATGAGCACACTGGAGGAATTTTTTGCAATCAGAGGGATGCCGCAACATTCCACTGAAACCGCTGGGACAGGACACTGTTTGAATTACTTGATGGGCCGGCTGTCTATTGCCTTGAGTATGCGAATTAGGGTAGCTGGAGGCAGGAACCTCAGGTTGTTGTTGTTGACTCCATTGTTGACTTTGTAAAGTATTGGGAGAATTAAAATTCTTTCGAGTCCCGTGATTCTCTTGTATAAGCGGAGAGTTATAGTGGCCGTGGATAGCTGCAGTTTCCCCTGCAGAATGATAAATTCTAAATAATTGACTTTTATTAATTTAAATTACATTTCATAGAAGGCGTATATTTAATGGACGACAATGTGTCTTCTGTCATACATTATTAATCTGTAAGATGATACTGTAGACAAATTACCCCCGGAATTTTATAGAAACACCTTAGAATGTTTCAACACCACACATTCATCTGAAATGTCCCGATTATTATTAGTGATAAGTCAATCAGACTCTGAACTTTTCAGACATTACAAATTGTGAAAAATCTTGTGTTGAAGTAAATTCAGATAGATGAGGCTATGTATATGCTCCATGAAAAATTTCATGCACAGTACAGTACATGTGCGCCAATGACAGCTAAAGTATTTATGAGTGGAGAAGAGTATAACTTGTGATTATCAATGAACAGTAAGGAATGAGTGTGGCAGATTTTAAGCTTCAACTTTCGAGTTTCGATTCGATCGCATCTAAATGTCCATCTCCATTTTACATAGGACAATGATAACAAAAACATGTTATATACTTTCATCAAAATGGGATAAACTAGTGTTACATTGTACGCCCGTTGTCGATGGGTGTGTTGTTTTCAAATATTTCTTAAGCTAAAACGGTTGTTTTTCAAGTTTTTGAGAGTCTGTTTCAATTAATATGAAGAGGGCTACTATGAATTTTCAATATTACCGATTATGAAAGTCAAGAAAATGCGAGAAAACTGAAAAATTACGTCCATTTAACATAACGACATTATAAAATCGAACAGGGGAGATGGGTGCAAAAGGGAGACTCAGGGCCAAACAGACACCGTAAAATTTGTTTAATTCTCTCCATTTTTTAATTTTTTCAGTTCCATCATTTTTTTGGTTTGGATCATGAAAAAAAAATAGAATTAAATACTTATGTGAATAACTGAGTACCATAGGGGATAGACCTGGCTATGTAGATTGCGCATGGATAAATGAACATTGAGCCGTCACAATTTCAATTTTGCAATTAGGAAATATATACAGAATTACGAAATCCAATGAATATGCAAATGAATTTGGAGGGTGTCCGTTTTGCCCCCACTCGTCCTACAAAATATTTTAATCGACAGAGTTTGTCGCTTTTTGTGGTTATATTTCGACAGATTTGGAAATGCTCAAGCCTATTTCCTCAAGAAAAATTTTTTTTTTCTTAAGGTGCCCGTTTTGCCCCTCTCTCCTCTGTACGGTTTAGAGGATGAATGTATGACGTTGAGACGTTTTCCTTACACCTACTATTTGTAATATATATATTTTTTCTAGTTTTGGGAATTAAATAGTGAATAAATTAATATTAAAGAGTATTTTTTTATTACTCAATCCGGAATACTTCTTGCCTAAACAGTCTCATAGTTTGAGAAACTGTTTGACGGTGTTAAACGAATGTTATTGATGTAAAAAGATTGTTAGTGGTTAAAATCGTGAAGGTGCCTACCTAAATATGATGAGGGCTAGACCGCGTAACCCTTGCACGGAGAGAAAAGTCCAATAAAAATTACCCGTAAAAATACGTGAAATTTTGCGACATGTTACGTGAAAAACTCTTGAATCTAAGGATTCATGAAATCCGTGGTAGATTTTACGGGTTCCAGAAAAATTGTGTAACTTTTTCGTCCTTATTCAGTAACAGACCCGAAAAAGTACTGAACGGTTCGGATTATTCTCTTGGCAGTGTCTATTCACACACGCCACGGTAATTTTTACTGTGGATTCACGGCAATTTTTTTATCGTGGATCTACGCCCTATGGCAACTTTTACCGTGGATCCACAGTAATTTTTGTCGTGGATCTACACCATATGCTAAATATTACCACAGATCTACGGTGAAAAATTACCGTGGATCTACAGTGATTCCCAACAGACGCGGGTACGCCATTTTTACCGTAGATCCACGGTGATTGTCAAAAGGCGCGGTGTCCGCCGTGGTTTCAATTAGAAAATCGATTGAAGAGGTCCCTTCTCAGGATCTCCAGATAACACCATTGGAGTTCCACACCACCTCATCTCAGGATTCTATTGAAGATGGGAATTCCCCGATTCCTAACTCTGGAATGGCTCTCACACAGAAAGAAGAAAAGCCTGAGACTTCTCTTTTAAACGCTGGCTATGACAAAGCACCATCCATACCCCATAGAACTTACACAAAGCTCAACCAGTCTGTGATTGAAGCTCTTGCTGGAATCGAAGATGTCCGGAAGGTCGGGATGTCTCAAGAAGCCCCAAAAGGACGAAGAAATACCGTGGCTGGGGTGCTACTGAAGAATGGCAAAACCCCCAAATATTCGCCAGAACCACATCAAGGAACTCGAGGTAGAGCTGGAGGAGTGATGAGAAGTCAAGAAGTATCTAGGGATTGTGAGGTAGCACAAAATTTTGGAGCACCTCGACGGCGAGGATCAGGAAAATCATCAGTGGATAAAGCTGGTGGGATTGCTTTTAGGAAAAAAAGTGATGACATCAACGTTGAGATCATGTTAGAATGGTTATTGGAGTCAACCTATGTGGAAGGGCGAGATTTCACAACATCAAAAATTAAATGCATTGAAATTGACACTGCCGACCTGAGTGATCCCTTCATCGAAACTGAAGATGATCACATCGAACTTTTGACGTCCTTGATGGAAAAAGTTGCCTTTAAGACATTTTTAACTGGTGCGGAAATTAAAAGAGAGCAAGATGATTACAAATGAGCTGCATGTAAGGAAAAATATCATCCGTTTTGTGAAAAAGTCGTTCGTTATGATGGATGCCATTTGTGGTATTATTGGATATGTGCGGAGGTAAAGAGGAAACCAATTAGTGATTCGTTCTGTGTTTGTGAAATTCTTCCGTTTCACTTTTTTTTGTTATTATTACTATCTACATTAAAAACTATACAATAAAAGCTAAAATTGTTATAACATCGTTTGTGGCAGTTAATATATGATAAAGTATGTAAAATTCCACTTTTCACTCACTGTAATGAAAAATATTCGGTAGATATGGTAAAAGTGTTTTTAAGCTCGTGTGGTCCTATCACCTGCATTCATTTCATCCTCTAAACCTCCTATTTTAAGTCTGTGCCTTCGGCTTGACCCTTCGGAGATTACCTTTCGTAATCCTCACATGCATATGTGCTCAATCCCCCCCCCCTTGACACCCCCCCTTTCCCTACAAACGACGTCGAGCCAGGGCGGCCTCCGTGGCGCCCTCCGTGCCGAGCTAGCGTCTCCGTGATTATCACGGGACTCCTCAGTACGCTTTTGTTTTCCATAGCGTGTATATGTGCTTGATCACCCAAACGTTGTTGTAACGTTCGCAGAGGCTTCATATAAATATGAGGACTCAAGGTAAGTAAGACACTCCGTTTTCCCCTTTATTGTTTCAGGCTTTAGAAAGTCCGGACTGGTACGAAACGAAGGAATGTACGATCAGGAAGGAAGCTCGATGAAAGGGCGGCACGACCGCGGACACCGTCCCCTCCCGCCGCAAGGCTCGCAGACATTCCTCTCGAGCATGGACCTACACCAAACAGCCTGTAAAGCTGAGGGACTGCGGGTTTCACCCCGGTCCCTAATCTACCAACTAACATCGATCAGCCTGTAAAGCTGAGGGACTGCGGGTTCCGCCCCGGTCCCTAATCTACCACCTCCTGACACCGAGCCGCCTGTAAAGCTGAGGGACTGCGGGCTTCGCCGCGGTCCCTAACCTCCTACACTCTTGATGGCGAACATCTCCACAAAGACGTCATCAAATTTGCGCGCTCAACACTGACAGCATCTTCCTCCCTTTTTGTATGTTTCAGATGACTGAAGCCCTTAAGGTTTCTCTGAGAGAGTTAGTGGGCATGGCGGCAGACACAGAAGAAGAGGATGGAGTTTTAGATCGTTTAAAGATATTGGCGGACTCGACCCTGCCGGTCGGTTGGCAAGAACTTCAGATACACAAGCTGTCCTTTGCCGACCTCTTCGGCGAAGAGGGGAGGGTCGATACCCTTCTCCTTCGGAAACTCGAATTCGCACTACCGATAGTAGATGTCGCTAGGGCATTCGACCCTGAAGCATCAGGACTAAGCGATGATGAGTTTTACGACTGTAAAGCTACGATGCTCCGCTGGCCCTTCTGTAGAGCCCTGATCATTAGCCCCCCAGCGATTATTAATCGAATCTGGGGTTCCAAAATTGAAGCACAGCAATTCCTCCAGTTTCTAAAACCGGTAAAGCACCTGTTCATCTCGACCTCTGAGGCGGATAAGACGTTGAGGCAAGGAAAATCAAAAAGAGAGAGACCCCACTCGGAGGAGAGGCAGGATGAGGAGGACCCTCCAGTCAAGCGCTCATGTCTAGAGGCCTTGGAAAAACGTATGACTTCGCTCTTCGATACACTGCTGGGCAAGAGAAAAAGATAATCATCCAGGGACGGCCTTGGAGGACACTGAACACGACAGAGAGAACCTCTCAGGCTCCTCCTCGGGCCTAGAGGAATATATCTCAGAAGAGGAAGAATCCTCAAACCTGCATCCCTTATTCCACGAATCGTCAGGAGTAAACTCGAGTGTCTTTTTGGACCCACAGGTAAAGGAATGTGATCCACTAATTCCTGAACCAGATTCATCCCTCAAAACTCAGGGCATAAGTTGCCAGAAACTGAATTCCACGGCTTGGAACCGAATCCGATACAAGGAGGTGCAGAAGAGACTTCAAGCAGCTCCAGTATTCGATACGCTGAAAATCAACAGTGAGCTACGTTCCATCGCCCCAAAGACAACTACCCAAACCTTGCTGGGTAGATTTGACTCAATGGCGGGCACCTTTGCGCACGGCCTATTACTACAGCGAAAGAAATTGTCCGAGGCTCTCGAGTCACTGCTGTTGAAGCATCCACAAATTAAAGATGATGTAAGATCCTTATTCGATAAAGATTCGGTGGTACAATCCGTATCCGACGACCTACTCCATTTCACCTGTGCTTGAAGAGCGGAGATTTTCGAGCTCAGAAGAAA